GTATTTGGGGAGTTTCTCCCATTCTTCTCTGCAGATCCTCTCAAGATCTGTCAAGTTGGATGGGGAGCGTTGCTGCACAGCTATTTTCAGGTCTCTCCAGAGATGTTCGATCGTGTTCAAGTCCAGGCTCTGGCTGGGCCACTCAAGGACATTCAGAGACTTGTCCCGAAGTCCCTCCTGCGTTGTCTTGGATGTGTGCTTAGGGTCGTTGTCCTGTTGGAAGGTGAACCTTTGCCCCAGTCTGAGGATCTAAGTGCTCTGGAGCAGTTTTCCATCAAGGAGCTCTCTGTACTTTGCTCCGTTCATCTTTCCCTCTATCCTGACTAGTCTCCCAGTCCCTGCCGCTGAAATACATCCCCACAGCATGATGCTGCCAACACCATGCTTCACCGTAGGGATGGTGCCAAGTATTTTATTTTTTTTCCCCGTTTTTCTCCACAATTTCAATCTTGTCTCATCTCTGCAACTCCCCAACGGGCTCGGTTGAGTCATGCGTCTTAACACCCGCCCGCTTAACCTGGAAGCTAGCCGCACCAATGTGTCGGAGGAAGGAAAACACTGTTCACCTGACGACCGAGGTCAGCCTGCAGGCGCCATTGCCCGCCACAAGGAGTCGCTAGAGTGCGATGAGCCAGGTAAAGCCCCCCAGCCAAACCCTCCCCTAACCCGGACGACGCTGGGCCAATTGTGCGCCGCCCTATGGGACAATTCCTTCAACCTCATGGCTTGGTTTTTTGCTCTGACATGCACTGTCAACTGTGGGACCTTATATAGACAGGTGTGTGCCTTTCCAAATCATGTCCAATCAATTAAATGTACCACAGGTGGACTCCAATCAAGTTGTAGAAACATCTCAAAGATGATCAATGGAAACAGGATGCACCTGAGCTCAATTTCGAGTCTCATAGCAAAGGGGCTGAATACCTATGTAAATAAGTTATTTCTGTTTCTTATTTGTAATACATTTGCAAAAATGTCTAAAAAACCTGTTTTTGCTTTGTCATTATTGTCACGGAATCAGCCGAGGCTGCTCCTCCTCCTTGCTCGGGCAGGCTTCGGCGTTTGTCGTCCCCGGAGTACTAGCTGCCACCGATCTATGTTTTCTGTGTTTGCCTTGTTTTGTCTTGATTGTGTACACCTGTTTCCTATTATGTTGTATTGTATTCCCTATATAACCCTCTGTCGTTCATTGTGTGTTGTGTGTGATTGTTCTCGTCATTTTCGGCAGTTGCTATTGTGCGGGTATTCTCCTCCCTGTTTGGAGGTTGTTTTGTACTCTGGTTACTTTGTTAGTAAAGTACGTTTCCAGTAGCTCGGTGTCCTGCGTTTGACTTCGCCTACCGCATTCACGTCGCACTTTGACAATTATGGGGTATTGTGTGTAGATTGCTGATAAAATGTTTGTATTTAATCAATTTTACAATAAGGCTGTAATGTACAAAATGTGGAAAAAGTCAAGGGGTCTGAATACTTTCCAAAGGCACTATATAACACACACATATTATACAGTGGGGTCCGAAATGATTGACACCCTTGATAAAGATGAACAATAATGACTGTATAAAATAAATAATTCAAATATTGAGCTACATTGTATGCTCAAGAAAATGGGGGAAATTATATTATTTTATACTAATACAATTGCTCAGAAAAATAGATTTTGTTTAACAAAATAAGGTGGTCAAATGTTTAGTATTTGGTCCCATATTCCTGGCACGCAATGACTACATCAAGCTTGTACCCCCAAGAGATGTTCACCTCTCACCATTACCAATAACAGGGGAGGTTAGCATGTCTTAGGGGTATGATCTTTGACCCTCTGTAACTTTCTCACACACGTGGTCAAAGGTCATAAGTATAAGTACCCCACCAGATCATAGCCAAGCTCAATATGATCCTTATCGTCATCCCAGCCACAGCAGGGGTCAGTCAGCCAGAGTCACATGATCCACTGTTAAACCCTCCTTCTTTTCATAGACCCCACCTCCCACTCATGGCCTAGACCCTGACCACTCACCCTCTCCGTCTCTGTCTGCACAACCTCCCACTCATCTACTGGGCACTAATCCACAGCACAGCTTAATCCTCCAAACCTGGCCACATACACACTCATAGGGACACAGAGAGATGTGTGCACACACCCACAAACTCACACACACACACACACACACTCTTTCTCTCTCTCAATATAGGATATTCCTACAGATACTGACATGCACACCAGATAAAGAGCCACACTGGCGTGAGTAGCCATGCTCAATGACACATGAGGGTCTCAAGCCGCTAAGTGGCCATCACACAGTACAAACACGCAATCAATCAATCAAATGTATTTATAAAGCCCTTTTTACATCAGCAGTTGTCACAAAGTGCTTTACAGAAACTGAGCCCAAAACCCCAGAGAGCAAGCAATGCAGATGTAGAAGCACGTGGCTAGGAAAAACTCCCTAGAAAGTCTGGAATCTAGGAAGAAACCTAGAGAGGAACAAGGCTCTGAGGGGTGTCCAGTCCTCTTCTGGCTGTGCCGGGTGGAGATTATAACAGTACATGGCCATATACTCTTAAGACACACATGTAATCATCCTTAAGACACACGCACTCATTCATGCTCAAGATCTGCACTTATACTGGTCCACCCTTACAGTGTTCAAATTAGGATTACACCCTAAGAGAGAGTGCATTCAAGGTTTTGATAGATTAGGAATTTTTGGTTTCATTCATGCTAGCTACCATATTAAGCACACACCAGGCTTGAGGACAATTCCATTTACATTCCAGATAATTCAGGAAGTACACTGAAATTCCAATTGCAATTCTCTTCAATGCTTTTCAATTGGGAAAATTGGAATTGGAATTTGGTATATTTTCTGTGTGTGTGTGTGTGCCTGTTTGTTGTTAATGCACAGACACTGGAAAGTATTTAACTCATGCCAACTCACCCAACAGATGTTGAAATCTAAAACCACATTTCCCAGAAAGCCAACTATCCGCTTTAACAAAGACAGGAAGTTCACATGACCCAATCACCTGAATCTCTACAGTTTCACAGTAGAAATCCTCAGATGTTGATAGGTCAAATCCCTCAAATAATACAAACTACTGTCCTAAAGGAAAATTCTTTAGTGACTCAGTTCACTCTAGCCTTCACTTCAACAATAACCACGATGGAGGAATCTGCATCCTTGGCCTGTTGGCAACAAAAGCAGGAAACAGCATTATAGGAAACAGCGGCGTTCTATAATGTCTTCCACTGTTGCCACAATACTGCCTACTGCTCCTATACAAGTTATACACATAAAATAAGAAGGGTGGGAGAAGCTAAAATATGCTATAAATTACTCTCTCAAAATGTGTTCACAACAGCGTTATACCTCCAGCAATTTACAACAAATAAATTATATGATCTCCTTCCTGCTATTTTAAAATGTATTTATTCTGACGAGGGCTTTGAGAATAGAGAAAACCTCCATAAAATAAAGCTTGGACATGAGATGATGCTGACCAGAGATCTGTTTTTTAATACTTATTTCTCTAAGAAGATCTCAGGGCAATTTCAGTCACAGCACGACAAGTTCACAGGCATGCGTCTTCCAGTACAATCTAAAGAGGACTAACATCTTTTCACTTTTTTAACAGTTAGCAGCCTGACGATCAAATGGATTTGTAGTTTATTTCTAGAGACTGGCATGCCATTGGATCTGCATGCACAGAGATGGAATAGAACTGAGATAGATGGTCAATCTAACACACAAAGATGAAGTGAAACTCATCAGAAACTCTGAATATCTATAGCCACCTCTCATGTCATCCTTCCCTGTGCCACTCTCTGTAAATCGTGAGATACAAGGTATACAGCTCTGTGTGTCAAAATGGAATTAAATATCTTTGCCAACCACCTGTTACATATTGTAGCGAATTCGGGTGGTAGCCTCGACCAGGACTCAAACCATTACGCCAAGAAGTCCAAACCTCTTGATGAGGTCGTCAAGAGGCTACCACCTTTCTTCGGGAGAGCGTGTCCCCACTTGGTATAGACCAAGTCCCTCATGTGTACACGCCCCACGGCCCCCAATCCCACTTTTGACACCAGTGTAGCAAATTTGGGGGGTAGCCCCGACCGGGACTCAAACCCGGGTCCAGCGACTATCAAGCCAACACCTTAACCGTTATGTCAAGAGGTCAAAACCTCTTGATGAGGCAGCTACAATATAATTCACAATCATCTGTTTGCTGATCACCGTTACTGATTGCAAATTGACATATATCTGGTCCTAGAACTATACTTGCTGATTGACATATAACTGGTCATAGAACTATAATTGTAACTATAACTATAACTGCTCATTGTAAATGATTATATTTCATCATTTTCATTGCCTTATTGATGTTATGCTGCAGCTGCACTGCACATATAGTCTGTGTATGATTATATCAGCACCATAAAGAAACTAACATGGTATAACAAATGATCAGGGCATTCTCCTCTCCAAGCCTTCACTACTGTGTGTGGAACAGACTGGGCATGACACACAGGACAGATGACCTCCAGAACAGACTAGCGTAGCATACTGTTTGCGTCAACAAACGAAACATGATACATCACCAAATAATGACGGGAAACCCCTGAGGCCATGCAGGGAACAACCAATCCCAAGCCAGGCCCAGCAGACAGGTTAAAGACCAATATGTGTAGCCATAGTGATGTCAACATGAACAGTGTGTGTTCCCCAGTGTGTGTGTGTTCTTCAGACTACCTATGGTGAGCCACATCCACCAGCGGCAACACACAAAGCACAGTAAATTGCAGTCTACAACTGCAACAGTGTAGTGCCAATCCTGAATGTACCCTGATTCCCCAGAAGTACCCTGATGAAGGTGTAACATCGTCCATCCATGCCATGGTCAACTCAGTATTCAATAGCAGAAAATATTCTCCTAGATAAACTATAGACAACTTTCACTTCCTGAAGCCCAACTATACTGTAGAATAGAATGCTCACCAGGTCGTGGTTGGTGGAGTTGGAGTCGTCCTCTGGGAAGGGGATGTAAACAGCTAAGGCCACACAGTTGGCAAAAATAGAGAGCAGTATAAAGATATCAAAGGGTCTGAGGCACACAGTTAAGGGACAATGATCAAAGCACACAGTCAATACATGAGCGTCAACAGAGAGAGCACATTGCAGTCATGTAAAGGTAGATGCTTAAGTAAAAAGAACAATGCTTAAAGCAAACATTTTCAAATACAGCGACATCATCAGTTTGATAGATGACGGAGAGCTTACTCCTTATCATAGGATTGTCTTAATGTGCCATCTTTAGAAACACACTGTCTGTGATGTCTGCATTCAGCACTACACTCAAATGAACTCTCTAGACTGTCTCCAACCGAGGTCTGGTCTGGGAGTGTTTTCAGCTTAGAAGAGAAAAGACTCAGACAATGGCAAGGCTACATGATCACTATAGAGACTGCAGAATAAATGATTTTGTTGCTGCTTGTTTGTTTAGTGCTTGGGAGGGATGCTAACTATCAGAGAATGACACTTGCCATCATGGCTACCATGGACTGCTTTCGCCTGTCAAACGAATAGACCAAAAGCCACAGGTGTTTTCCATGGTCCCATGTGGAGAGACAGAGAGTCCCTGTATATCTCCATTGAGAGCCCCAGAAAGGATACTTCCACTCCACCAGGCTGATGCAGGCTCTGCGGATGGGGTTGTTGAGGGTGAGGCAGAACAGGGCCCTGGGCGGTCTGCTATTGGTGGAGCCGCCCTGCTTCTTGCTCTTGGCATACTGCTGCCTCTTCCTCTGTGACAGTGAGCCCACCGGGGCAGGCGTGGCCCCAGGGACAGAGGGGCAGGTGCTCATGCTCTGGGGGGCGTTGCCCTGGGCGTTACGAGCAGCATGGATCGCGCCCTGCCAGGAGATTGTGCCAGTCCGGGGGCAGGATTCGGGCTGCGGGTGGGAGGGGTTTTCTGACCTGAGGGCCGGCGTGTCACCAGAGGGATGGGCTCTGGTGCTGCTGGCATACTGTGCCCCTGAGGAAAGACAGAAAGGGGAGGGGGGGGGGGGGAGTGAGAGAGAAAGGCATGAAATACAAACTGTATTTGAAACTCAGTGAAGGTGCCCTCACCAGTCTCTGTGACTGTGCAGTGACTTTCAGAGCCCCAAACCTGCAGAACATTCCTCTAGCCATGTATTCAACCAACAAGTCGCCATGCGACACTTCAATATTGAAATAAACCTTTTAACGCTGCATGTATTTCATGCAGATCACAGGGAGACACTACAAGTGAAGCCAATTGGCTTTATTTAGTATGTATGCCTAGTTAGTGGTGCATCTTTTCTTTTCATATTCTAAAATATGTTTTTTTTTGTCTCAGAAAACCACTACATTTCATTTATATTGGCAAACATGAATGTTGCAGTGAGCTGATTAGAATGGCAAGCTGTAATCAAAGCAATGACATCCTTGGACAGGATAGTGATGTTGTTAGTGTTTGATGAGGGGGCTAAGCTTACCAGGGAGCATTCCCTTGACAACTAATGAAAACACAGAGGACACAAGGGAAGGCTGCTCATTGTAAGAGCCTAGTCAACCATATGGATGCTACATAAAAGGGAAAAGGGAAATGTTTTATAATTAAAATAATTATTTATTTCTGGTGATGACCTAATGTAATACTGTGAAATGGATTACATAATCCACTGTTACAACAAATTAAGTAATTAATCCAACATCTGTTGCAGGCACAACTGTTGATGCAAAACTGAGTCAGACAAATACAATTTAATTATTTGAATCTAAATAATTTCACTGCTTCCTCTCACCTAGACTAGACTTAATATGATCATAGTCCAAACTTCCATCAAATCAATCCACAAATAAACCTACCTTTTCTCCAGGACTACCTTTCAGCTGATTATTCTAATCTAGTACCGAGACATCAGTGATATCCACTGCTTATTAAAAAAAATGAAAATAAAATAATAATAATAATAATAATAATAATAATAATAATAATAATAATAATAATAATAATAATAATAATAATAATAAAAGATGCTCGCAGCACAAAACAAATAGAAAGCATTGGGCTCCGGGTCACAAGAGTGACAAATACGATAAGACTCACACAATACTATATACAAGAGCGCACGAGCGTCCTCCCGACAGCACAGCGCTCTAGTGACAACTGAGTCAAAGCATCGGATTTACCTTCGGGCTGTTCCTCTGCTTCTTGCATCCTCCTATCCACATTGAAACTCCGTTTTGATTCCAACACAGTCAAAAAATATCGAAAAGTGTAACAATAAACGATAAAGCAAAGTATTCAACTACATTTAATAAAGTCTACAGAACCCCAGAGAGTAGCCTATACCACAAACAGCTTTGCATTGCAACATCCGGGTGTTGTGCATGATGGATCGTAGATGGGTAAAATACAGACGCCTACATTATATCCTGGATCAGTGGTCCATAGGCAAAAAGTCCCTTCGAAGTTTTTGGTTAGATTACTGAAGCAACAGGAAAACAGCTGTGACCATCCTCTCAAGAAGGACGCGAAGATATGATTTTGGACCCTGTGTCCAAGGTGCGCAACGTGTCAATGTTCACTCTCTTACGGGCATCCCATGCTAATCCGTTTAGAGATAGCAATATAATGTAGTAGTCTACCAGAAATGGTTGTTGTAAATAAATCAGCTTCTGAGTTGGGCCAATGCCAGTCAATTCAATGACATAGTCATCATTGACCGACCCGCCTTTCCTTTCCAACTAGGGCGACTGTCTCGAGACGCGCAAAACAATAAGGCAATGGATGGCCATATAGCCTAATAACCATCTTCAATTAACCATAATAAATCAAACGAATAAGTAAAACGAATAAATCATGGGCCTAATATGACTATGACATTGATGAAATAACTATGATAAACATGTGTAGGTTTAAGGTTAATCAATGTGTTGCTCAATAACTTTCCAGGGCAATCACAGAGACAAATATGCCTGTGGCATAGTAAATTAAGTACCCCCCGCGGACGGACGCATGGACGCACCAAACACACACCACACACCCACACAACGACACTGACACGATAATAAAATATGCATGATTTTGGATTAATAAGAGTCACTAACTGAGGTTGGGACAATAGATAAATAAAATAAAATAAAATGTTATTTGTCACATACACGTGTTTAGCAGATGTTATTGCGGGTTTAGCGAAATGCTTGTGCTTCTAGCTCCGACAGTGCAGTAATATCTAACAAGTAATATCTAACAATTTCACCAGATGTGTTTATGAGCTTGGTAGGGTACAAATATCTTATTATAACCCAAAAACGAATGACCTATTGCTCCTGTTTTGGCTATAATTGGCAACTCTTAAGTTGTAAATGATTCGTTTTTTATCTCACATAATTGAAATCCCTGCATGGATATTTCAGATATGAAGTACTGTATGCACACCTTGCAGATTTCACATTTAATAGGTTATTATTCATCATTCTGTCACTCTCATTATATCACTTGGTTTTTAAAAGGCTATACTTTTTATTCTAAAAAGCCAAACAATTATTAGCCAATTATTAGCCAAACATAGGCCAACATCTGGCACATAGGCTATCATGTAATGCACGCTCATGGTGAAGACATTACGCATATAAATTGTAGACCTATAAAATAAATCAACAGCAGTAGCGTGTATACATGGATGCCAAGGGAAGCCAGGCTTCCCCAAAAAATTGACCAAGAAAAAAACATAAAATAATATATATTTCGTCTCTCTGTGTTTCATAATTGTCCTTCAATTCGCTGAATGTATCTCGCCGGAGAAAGCATCCGAGCGAGCGAAACAGCGCCCCTCTGTCTTTGTATGTGTAGGCCATCTATCTGATGCTGTCTGGTCCAAAAGAGTATGACATTGTGGCCGCCCGTAACATTGAACGCAAAGGAAGGCAGGAGCATTTGGCTTCCCTTGATAAAAAAAATATAAAATAATAGTCAATCAGCGTTGAGCTAAACTGAGCGAGCTCAACTGTGAATGGTCCTGGTGCACCAAAAAAAAATGTCAAGGGAAGCCAGTTTGGATTTGGCTTCACTCCTATCAACTTGCATCCAGAGCATACATCATTGACAGAAACAACTTGAATTGTTGCATCTCGTGGTGTTGTTGTCCTCCGGTGGCTAGCTAGCTAACTAAAATTAGCACTTTCCTAAATTAGCCATGGATGGAGATAGGAATTTGGAGTTGTGGTTTTACTTAATTCTCCATACTGGCCAATGATTATAACTGCGATTCTGATCCAACCATTAATTCATACATTGTGCCCCTGGCCTGAGAGGATGGAAGTTTAATATGTAGCTAGATATAGAAGTCTAATGTTAACTAGCTAATGTTGCCCATGAAAGGAAGTTAGGCTAGCAAGCATTTTAGCCAGGTAGCCTAGGACAACAAAACATAAAAGAGTGTACTGTGTGACAGAGTGATATACCGTTTTGTCAACATGAAAGAGAGGAGAATGGTATTGGCATTTCTCTACAAGTAGGGTAAGTCAACATGTTTTTTCTACTTGCACAAACAAAGTCACATTGTATTTAGCTTATGTTGATTGGACTAAATTGTTTTTGGTATCTTTTAGTTGTCACTGTATTAGACTAAGCATAGGTGATTTGATGATGAAATGGTTCTGGAATAGTGGAGGCAGCTCCTGTTTTCTTTGCGACTTGCGGTAAACTCTCCATGGTTCTAAATCAATAGTATTTTAGTGGTCCGAAAATGTCGGAAACATTAATTTGCTTGACCATTCTGTAGGTCATGTAACTGTTAGTTACATGCAATATGCTTTGTGGACTTCACCAGACAGAGGTTGCTCTCCGGTTCTATATCGTGGAGCTCCGCCCCATAGGGGAGCTCTGCTCCTAGTGGTTTACCCTCTGCCCTAAGGCAGCAACAGCCTGAAGCAAAATTATGCACACACCTGCAGCCAATGGGAGCACAGGTGTCCCTATAAGAGGGGACGCTTCCCCTCAATCAGCCTCCCATTATCTTCAGCAACTGGACGACTAGACTGAAGAAGCCAAGAAGTAAGAAGACTCAGGAAGAAATCGCCGTCGATGAGCCAGCCATCGACGTCTTCTAAATGAGCACGCCAGGAAATTTTCCACCCCCAAAAGCCCTTTTCAGGGCTCAGTGCCGATGCTCCTCCATGGCATCTGCGGACCCCCACGACCTTTGTTTCTTGTGTTTGGGGCCGCAGCATGCCAAGGAAGGGACCGGCAATCCCCCTAATTGCGCCTCCTGCGCCCTCCTTCCTATGAAGGAGAGGAAGCAGCGTTGGGCGTTTTTTAGGGAGGATATCCCCCTAGAGGATGTACTGTCTCTTCTCGCCTCTGCTTCAGAGGCGTCGACGGACAGTGCTGACTCAGGGGAGGACAAGGAGAGAGACGCAGAGATGGATGTTCCAATGGAACAATCCGACCCTCTGGCGCCAACCTTCAAGACCCCCTTCCCTATGGGGAGTGTGAGATCTGAAGGCTCCTTGTGCGATGACGACACGGGCTCTGTTACGTCAGCAGCCCTGTCCTTCGCAGCGGCCTCTCTGCGTTCGGACTTCCACGAACTCATTGAGAGAGCCGCCAACCGACTAGAGATAGCGCTGCCCCCTGCTCCCCCCCCTGTGGAGGTCGACATGATGGAGGGCGGCCCCTACTCTAGACCGAGGAAGGCAGCTGAGCCGATGGCTCCTGCTATGCCTTCCCTCGGGGAAATATGTCGAGGGCTCGTGGGATACACCCCTGGCGGCGCGTTCGCCGGCGAAGGTGTACACCCCATTCACGAGAGTGGCTGGACGTGAGTGGGCTGCTAAGGGAATCCCTAGGCTCGAGAGCGCCATGGCGGCGTATCTAGTGCCGGGTTCGAGTCCCTGGGCGGCCTCCAAGAAAGCCACCTTGCCAGCACAAAAAGACAGACTCACAGCACAGCTGGCTGAGAAGTCTTTTACGCTGGGAGCCCAGGCTGTGTCAGCGGCTAACAACATTGCCCTCCTCGCGGCCTCCCTATCCCGTCTAACAACGGGTAGGTCTGAGTTGACCAGCGAGGAGATTGAAGAGGCGTCCAGGATTTCTGGCGCTATTCTTCATTTGACACAGGCGTCAGCGATATGCGCAGGCCGGTCCATGGCCACCTCGGTGGTCATGGAACGTCACCTCTGGCTGTCAATGACAGCCATGAAGGAGACGGACAGAGCCTCGCTACTAAACGCTCCCGTCCCTAGCGAGGGCCTCTTTGGGGTCGCCGTTAAGGAGGCGACGGAACGCTTTGGTAAGCTGGACGAGGAGAGAAAGCACCTGGCTAAACACCTGCCATTGGCAGGCAAGTTTAGCAGGGCCTCAACTAACCCGTCAACCTCCAACGCCCCCAGTAGAACTACAGGGAGGCGACGGGCCAGGCGACAGGCGCCTACCACCGACAGCAGGCGAGCGGGCTCGGCCCCTCAAGCGACGACGGTGGTGGCGACGATTCCGCCGGCGAGAGAGGTTGTCACAAAACCGTCCTGGCAACACCAGAAGGTCAGCCAGAAACGACGGCGTCAATGACGGGACGAGGGGGAGAGGACGGATGACGGCTCGGCGCAAGACGCGACAGAGCCCACTGTTCCCCCCCACCCTACTGTTCAGGGCATGGAGGGAAATGTTTATTGTTGTTGTGTGAATAAAGAGCTGGCTCTCACTGACATTGTCACAAAAGGGCCTGTCTTCCATGACACATTGCAGAGTACTTCACGTCCTATGAATTTCTCTCACCATCCTGAGTGTAGCTCAACCCACCAAGGGTGCGTAGTTGAATACACTCAGGAGAGGAAAGAGAAAAAGGTAGCAAGGCGTAGCCTTAGCTCACCTAATAAAGATATTTTACTACAGACTCCTAGGAGCTCTGTAGTAAAGGTCTCACATAGCAGGCAGCTGTCTCAGTCTAAATATGACATGAAGACGCAGCCGCTAACTGGGAATGACGCCTTGCTTCAGGCTAACGCCTCAGCCAGCGCAGTTCAGACCCGTGCGACGTTCACGGAGGGCCGGAATACTAGAGTTACAGGTGTAACCAATGTATGGGCGCCCCCGGTTAATTCAGAACGTAACAATGGCCACTACTCTGAGTGCAGCTCACCACACCTAGAGTGTGCTGTTGAGCAGCCTCATGAGACCAGTAAAAAAGAGGTATTGTGGCGCCACCTTGTGGTACC